CAACTAGCAATACTAATAACAGCAAGGGAAATTTAGAAATTGATAAACTTTGGTAACTACTAGCTTTGTATTTTAGACCATATGGGTAAACACTATAGCTATATAATTAAGCAGGCCATTAAATTGGGATTATTTAAATTAGTTCCTCTGAGTTCTGTCTGGGCACCTCCCATTCACGTAACTGGAGTCCTCCAGGCAGACTAGTTCTTCTAAGTTACCTCCTGTCCTCTCCGTGCCTTGAGGATCTCCCCACAGGTCTGGGCCTCAGCCTGCCCTACTGGGCCTAGCAGTACGCCTCAGCTCCCTGGGCCCAGCCACAGGCCTCAGCCCCTCCTCCCAGGCCTGTGCCATGGAATTCCACGCCAGGTCACACACTGAGCTCTTCTGTGCCAAATTCTGACCACCAGATCACACACTGAGCAGCTCAGCACCAAGCTCCACCTGCTGGGTCCTATGCTTAATGAGTTGTTTTAAGTTCATGATAAAAAGTGTCATGCATGGAAAAATGAAAGTGATTTATTTCTGTAAAGGTAGCATTTATTCAAATGTAAGTACTTATTCTTTTGTGGTGGATATTTTTATTTAATACAGGAGACTCACAATAAATCCCACTTGGCCAATTTCTTCTTAGAACTGGCACAAATCAGTAGGAAAAAGGCTAACTACCATACTAGGTGGTGAACGATACAAAAGGAGAATTCATAGGGTGTCACAGACACGAAAAGAGCTCTGAGGATGAACAGGCAAATGGAGTAGATGAGGGTTCTGGGGATAAGGAAGGTCTGAAGTTTTGCTATTATTTTGATCCTAACACATTGAAGAGCCCTAGAGAGATATTTAGAAACCTGAAAGTTTAGAATGGCTAGTACATCGAGGTCAGTGGGGAATTTTAGAGTATAAGTTCCCTGTGTCAAATGCAAAGGACTTACACTGGGGACACATGGAGGTGACATGAGAAATCCCATGGGGGAAGAAGCAGAGTATCAACCTTTACAAAAGAATCCCTTGACAGTCGGGTAGGGGTCACAGCTGGAACCCGCAACCTGTGTTGGAGGCTGGTATTAGAATGGAAGTTATAATTGGGGCAAGTAGGGCAACGCCAGGAGCCAGGCGGCACTGCAAAATGCGGAATAAAAGAGCAGTGACACCGTGCAGAAATGCATATTTCAGATAATTTTATAGGAATGGTACAGGGATGGAGTTGGGACTTGGTTTTATCACTGAGTTTCTAGCAGTAGGCTCACTACCCGCACATAGAAGAGTGAGCACCTTGGGATTTGGGTTTCATTGTGTTTTCTTTTTTTTAATTAAAGAAAGGTGTGGAGGACATCCAGTGTGCAGCAGACTCGAGTATGGATAGACTGTGTGTGACCATGCCTGAAAGCCACTCAGAGAGATCACAGACCTAGCTAGAGAGACGTCAGCTACAGAAAGTTGCAGGGCTCAACTAAAGCCACTCACTGCATGTCAGGAAATGCTTTCTATTCTTGAATTTTTGAAATAATCATGTCATTTATTGGCATAGTAATGGTGCTATCCTGGTGAACACAGATGTATCCTCTATTTCTTTAAAAAAATTCTTCATACGCTGCCATACACCAAGGCATTTGGAGCGCGCTGGGTGCTGGGCACTGGTGCAGACCATCACAGCAGGGCCTATGCTTGGCTACTTTTCTCCAGCACTGGTCAGGAGGCTGTACTCAAGAGAGGGGAAGTTGGGAAACGGGGTCAGGGTGCTGCCCCAGTGGAGCGCGCACTGGAGCAGCAAAGGGAGGGGAATAGTTGGTTTTTAAAAAGCAAGAGGGCTGTGACTCTGGAGGTGGCTGAGGCTAGAGAGCTGCAGCGCTGCTGCGAGGAGCTTGCAGGTCGGGAGGGCGCGACGCTGAGTCTGCAGTTGTGGCAGGCAGTGAAGTCCCCGTGGGAGGTGAGGGCCACTAGCCAGCCGGCGGCTCTGAGCGCATGGAAGGGCAGCAGGACGCAGCCTTAGGGTGTGCTGGAGCACAGCCAGGCAGCCACTGGAGGAGACACAGATGTTGCTCTACCATGCATCCGTGTTCCATATTAGTGCTCATGGATTCTTGTCAGATCTGAGGCTTCCTAAGTGCGTGTCTTTTCAAATATTCAAATAACTGTACATATTGCATAGACTGGTATTTCATAAATAAATAGAAAGTTGTGAATAATCTCATATTCCACTTAATTATTTGCAGATGTTAGGATTTCAGGTTTACAGGTGAATCCAGTTTGCTGTTGACTTCATCACCAACCTCTTCCTGAAGGTACCACACGGGTGTACCAAGGACTCACTACCACAGAAACACTCCGAAATTTGCAAACCAACAGTGTCCTCAGGATCCTGGTTTATGTTGTCTACTTACGAAAAATTATCAGTTTGCTAGCAACTGTGACTATTTCCCTTACCCACACTCCGGGCTTCTGCAAACTGCAAAACTCTTTTCAGTTCTCATTTTCTATTTCTCTCACTACTCCACAGTTTAAATGCAAATACATTGTTCCCTTAAGAAATGAGCAGTGTACTGCTTCACTGTTCAGGTTCCGTTTGGGTATCTCGGGGACCTGAGCACGTGCGTCCATTCGTGTTAGGGTTTAGGCTTTGATGTCCCCCCAAAGCCGCATGCAGTTGTGGGGCAGCCTCTAGTTTGTGATCAGTTCACAAGCCAAGGCTGGGGTTTTGGGTGTGAGCGCTGCTCTTGCCCTGGTGAGGACAGCCTCGGTGCGATGTAAGGAAGGGAGAGGCCTGCTCCTGCTCCCGCTGCTCCCGCTGCTGCTGCTGCTGCTGCTGCTGCTGCTGCTGCTGCTCGCTTTTGGCTCCTGCTGTTGTACTGTTTTCTGCTGCCCTCTGCCACGTGCCACCCTGCCTTGGAGGCAGCTGAGTATGGACTGAACCCTCCACAAATTGTGCGCTAAATAAACCTTTCCTTCCTTAATTCTGGGTGTCAGGCATTTTGTCCCAGCAGTAAGAGAAAGGTAATTGAGACAAATAGATAAAGGAGCCTCAGCAGTAACTAGAGCTGAAAAGTCGAGTCTTGCTTTTCACCTGTAGAAGACCTTGATTTCAAACAGCTCAGCGTGTCTCTTCCTGAGCTCTCAGGACCCTGATGTGGGATGGCGCTGGAGCAAATGCGCAATGCAGACCAGCCTAAGGTTCCTCATCCAAGATTTTAGGAAGCAGCAGCGCGCGAAGAGGTAAGCGGGTGTCAGGTCCACGCGCGGGCTCTTGCCCCTCCACGCAGTGCCTGGACCTGGGCTGCACGCTTGGGTGACTCTCCCATCCCAGGTTTTCCAAGCAGAGCTGCAGATCTATAACCCTTCTCCTTTGGACACAGCTGTGTTGTCGCCTTTGCAAACTGCTGTACGAAATGAACACAGACATTTCCCTGATTACTGCCACTCAGGCTTTCTACTTTGTGGGGAGCCGCTGAAAAGATAACACTCTGGCTATCCTGACTGATCTCGCCATGCCTCTGAGCTGAGGCCCATTAGCACGAGCTCCACGGGTGGGTCCCGGGCCAGGACCACAGGCTCACAGCGGTCGGCAGAAGACAGCACTTACTGGAAGGTTCTGACTCGGCAGCTTCAGGGTGGAGATTTGGGAACACGAGAGAGACGAGGAAAGTGCGTCAGAAGAGACCAGATGCCCGCCAGAGAGGACGATGAGCAGAAACAGAGGCGGCCAGCAAGGTTCGGACGAAGCCCCAGAAGAGCGCCCCCAGGTGGAGTGGCTGCGCAGTGCTCCGGGGGTGTGCGCACGTCCGCACTCCTGAAACTCAGGCTTCCCACCGGCACCAAAGTGAGCACCCGCAGCCGCAGCCGAAGCAGCGGTAGCAGCAGCAGCGCTCCACTGCAAATCAGTTTTCTTCTACAGATTTTCAGTAGTGACACTGTTACTTTCCTAAATAACTTGCTTGCACTTAGGGGAGATTAATCATAAAAGAAAAGTCTAATCATGGAAATTCTCAATTCCAGAACATTCAGAAAAAAAGCTGTGGTTATAACCTTCAAATAGGAGTCAATAAAATAGTATCTTACGGAAATAATTATATTTAATCTCATTCTTTTTTTGTTGTTGTATTTTAGGGAAGGTCCTACAGGGTGTTCGGGGTCAGGTCTCACTACTAGATTGAACTTGAAGTGATTCTCCTGTTTATAGCCTCCCAAGAGCTGGGATTACAGGCACGCGCCAGCACGCCCAGTCTCAATTGCCGCCTCAGCACACCCTGGGGACGGGGCCGGCACGGCAGGCCCAGGGATCGAACCTGCAGCCCCTGCACCTCCTTGCAGGCGCTTTTATCTGCTGAGCTATTTGGCCAACCCCTAATCTCTTATTCTTGTGAAGCTATATGTTAAAAATAAAATGTAATACTGTACTTGATATGGCAGTTGATCCATATATCCTAGTAATCATGTATTAATCATTCCTTAAATTATAAATACCAAATACAAATGATCAATAATAAGCATTCTGGACAATCGACAGGGACTTTTATCACTATTACTTTCCAAACTGCTCATGACCATCAGTCACTTAGGCATTTCTTTTTTCTTTTTTTGTGGAACCGGGGCTTGAACTCAGGCCCTTGCACTTGCCAGGGAAGCGCTTATTCCGGCGAGCCATCTCCCCGGCCCACTGAGGCACTTCTGGTGTATGATCATAGTGCTGTTTTGATCACTGAATGTCCTTTCATTTTTTCATCGCGTTGCAGCTGCTTTGGAAAACTTAACTGACAAGTCTCGTAGTAACTGGTATTTCCTGATCAAGTGAAAAAAGCTGCTAATTTCTTTCATCCCTTGCACCCTTTGAAAAGAGCGCGATTTTCCTAGAGGCCTGCCGAGCCCTGGGGCTTGTCGGTAAGGCCCACTGACGCCCTCAGTCATTTGGTACTGGAATAGTATTCACAGGATTTGTTTAGTGTGTTTTTCAAAGCAGCTGAATTTGTATTAAACTTGGCACTGACAAAGCTTTCTGGTTGTTTTTCTAGGAGCCCGTATTTCACCTGGAACCGCACAGATGGGAGCGAGGAAGGGGCAAATGTCCTTTTGACCCCAGCTCCTCCTTTGTCTCCACTTTGATTGGTAATTATCTCCACTGCAGACGAGGGTGGCACCTGGGAGGATTTCAAAACATTCTTTGGTGTTTCTTTATAACCTTTACCTTACCAGATCTACTTACTGTGCTGGGATGAGACTAAATTTTAAGCCATGTTCACTTGAATAATTTGACTCTTAAAAATAAGCCCAGATGCTAGAAAATACGCATGTTTCATCTTGAAAAACAAAAAAAAAATGACTTAATACCTGATACAAGACATTTCACACAGTACTAATTTTTTTTGTGGGGGTGGGAGGGCTGGCGTCCCAGGGATTGAACTCCGGACCTTGCATTGCCAAGAAGGCGCTTGCACCACTGAGCTGCCTTCCTGATCCCACAGTACTATTTACTATTTACAAAATGCAGTTATGTGATTACTTCATAAAAATTTAGCTGGAGGAACTAAACTGTTTTAACATAGATTAATTCTTTGCCCTTTAATTACCCTTGACTTTAGGGAATTTTAATTGCCTGCCTCTGGGTATCTTTTTCTTTTATCCATTCAATTTGTTAGAAATTCATCTTGAGAATGCAAGATGAATTAGATGTAGTTATCTAAATTCTTGTTAATCAAGATGAATGCAAAATGTAGTTATCTAAATTCTTGTTAATCTACAATATAATATAGAGTGTGAACAGCTCAAACTAAATATTGGACTAACAGAAGAAGATAATACTATTCTAGGTTTCAATTTCATTCACTAGAAGACCAGGAAGCCAAGAACCTCACTTAAAACACAATAAACTGGGCCTTCGAGACAGCTCAGCAGACTGAGCACCTGCTTAGGCAAGTACAGGGACCAGGGTTCAATCCCCAGCGCCACATGCTATGTCAGCCCCAACCTCGGGCGCTGAGCCAGCCACGGAGACTGGGTGCGGTGGCACACGCCTGTAATCCCAGTGCCGGGGAGGCTAAAAACAGGAGGATGGCTACGAGTCTGAGTTGCATAGTGAGACCCTGGACCAAAAACATTAGAATAATAAATAAATAAATACCACACACACTAAAAAACTCGCTTTTCCTTTGTCCTTGCATTATCTTGGGTTGAAAATGGCTCAGGTTTCCGAGTATTGCAGAACAGTGAAAGCGCTGACGGATGTCCTGAGGATATCGTTCAAGAAAGCAGTCCGCGGCGACCCTTGTAGATGCTGCCAGGAATGATTGTTCCTTCTATAACTTTAGATATGATGTTTATTCTGAGAGACCTGCAGATGGCACAGATGTGCATGGGACTGTTCTTTTATTTGCAAGTTACACAGTTATTAGGATTCCTTTGGCTTTGCAGAAAAGGAGAAAGTGTAGAATGCCCCAAAGAGAGTTCGTGCTCTAAATAAGCTGCTAGCCCCGCAGCTGGTGAGTAAACAAAAGGCGCGGTGCTGGATGTAGGGCCGCCGCTGCCGCCGCCGCAGGAGCTCCAGTCGCGTCCCGGTTCCTGCCACGGTGGCCGTCGAGGGCTCCCGCCGCCACACCGCCCGCCCCCACCTGGATGCTCAGGCCCCCAGGAGTGAAGGTTTATAAGACTAGAGGTTTATGACGAAAACGCTCATGTCAGCTCCGTTTCTGGGAAATGCGGATTTCAGCTCCACAGTTGGAAAGGTCTTTAAGATGAGAAGGTCATGTAGTGATTACGCGTTTTTCAGGATCTTCTATGGAGAGATTGGAGAAGAACGAAATAGTTCAAAGAAATTTATTGAAGTGTTTTGAATTCCCTCATGAACCATTTTTGTGAGCATGCACACACACGAGTGTGTGTGTATGTCTGCGTGTGAAAGATACAGAGAGGACAGACAGCATGAGGGGACTCTGCCTTTGCTGGCATGTCTTTGAAATACCTAGCAAGTGTGTGTATCCACACGACAGCGCTGCGCTTTCAGATCACAGTTGCGCTCTGCCGCACCTCCCCTCCCCACTCGACCTTCTGTCCCTCCATCCTCCTGCCCTCCCCTCCCCCACTTCACCTTCTCTCCCTCCATCCTCCTGCCCTACCCCTCCCCTCCCCCACTTTACCTTCTCTCCCTTCCATCCTCCTGCCCT